GTAGTAGAGAGAGAGGGCTCCTTTCTTAGAGAGAGAGAGAGAGAGAGAGAGCTCCCCTTCTACCAAAGATGGTACAATCTTGGAAAAAACCAGACAGAAGGGTGTTCACAGGGCTGAGCCTCTCGAGTTTGGTGGTCCCTCGTGAAACCCATTTGCCAGATCTCTCTCTGAAAAGAAATCGAGCCGTTGATTTTCCTCCACCCCTTCTGTATGCTATCTTCCAATAAGGGTATCTTAAAGCAAGGCCCTGCAAATGTCCTTTGGAGATAAATCCCAGAAAAATTTTTGTTTTCTTCTCTTGTGATGATAATGGTGCAAACATAGGGTGGTGGGGTGGTTTTTCCAATCCAAGTCCACTTGGGCACTACAGAAGAGAAAAAGTGTCCTCAATTATGGAGAGATAAATTGATGCTTTAGAGAGGGGAAAAGTTTATACAGAGCAGAGGCTCTAAACATTGAACCCACTTTCGAAAATTTTACTGGAGGTTGTTTTGTTGCTTAAATGTATTTAAATTGATGGGACTTAAGAAAAAAATGGATTTTAAGTTTTAAAATTAGTGTATTTTGTAAAACATTTTTTTTAGACCGTTAATTTTTAAAATTTTTAAATTTTTAAATTTTTAAATTTTTATAGATCCGATCAAACTACAATATTTTTTATAATTTTAAATTTTATAATTAAAATAAAACTAACATATAGATTTTCAATATTAAAACAATATTTCTCGATACCATTTGAAGATAGGCTCTAATTTGATTGTTTAGAGCATGGGCTATATACAAACCAAGAGAGAGAAATTAGTTGTAGAGAGAGACAGAAAGTGAGCCAAGGACAAAAGCTTTTAGGTGTACCCCATTCTCAGATCCTAACAAGTTTCTAAGTTGCAGGTTGTTCATTGCCGTGAAAGTTAGAGGCTATTGTTAATGTAGATAATATCCAAACTAGCCTCAACGCCGTAATTTGGGAAAATTGTGAAATTCAATTTGGTGCAGCATTTAGGCCCATTTTGGATGGCCCATTCCTAATTTCTAAGCAACCTAATTGTTACTAGAAATACATAGCATCCAAACTGGGCCTGAATGTCTCAACTTAAAGAACGAAAGTATTATAGAATCCGATCAATTATAGAAAACCTCATCTTGGAAAAAATAATAAGATAGCAAAAAATAAACATTTTTGTAAAATTCAAAGTTTGCATGAAATTTTTTTAATAGGAAAAATTATGTAAATATTTGTTTTAGTTTATGTTATTATCAAAATACTGAATATTTTTCATTATTACTGATATGTTTGTTTTTTAGACTTCATAACAATTTTTTTTTTAAAAAAAAGAGGAAACTACCTATTTTCGGTTTTTCAAAAACCGAAATCGGTCTACCTTCGGTTTTTGAAAAACCGAAAATGAGTAGTTTTTCATCTTTTTTAAAAAAATTGTTATGAATTACAAAACACGAACATATCAGTAATAACGGAAAGTATTCGTTATTTTGGTAATAGCTAAAACAGATGTTTACGTAATTTTCTGTTTTTAATATCCCTCGAAAAAGGGATATTTACATTAATTTCTCCTAATATATGTTATTTAATAAAAATATAGTTTCACCATGGATTCATCCTGCCGCATCTCCAAAAATGGTACAGATTCATGAAGAAGTGAAATGAACGCTGCAATAAAATTTCAAAAATAGTATTAACAAACTTGAAACTTATTTACTTTTTTGATATTGATGATTACATGGTTGAGATTATAAACTCTGGAAATTTAAAATCTAATATTCATCTAGGAAATACATTTCAGAGAGAGGATGCCTATAAACAAATGAGTCCGCCGACATATCAAAACGTCACTAATGTTTTTTACATGTTTTGGATTTCAAACTCCAAAAATATCAAGAACTAAAGGCATCCTTGATACACCAAGTTTTCTCCTTTTGTGGAAGAATTGCATGATACAAAGACAACAAACGTAAGATAAAATATATGCAAATTTGTGATTCCATTCTTAGAGATCATTCAGGATCCATTATTATTTGGGAGATAATCCCAAAGCCAATATTTGTTCACGATTGTTGGCTTGGGCAATTGCAAGTGTGATTAAATGGATGGTTGGATATCATCCAATTGTGTGGATGGTTTAGCCCTTTATGAGAGGATTGGTAAACTGTTGATAAATTTGGATTTTATATTTATACTCCCTAACTGTTTGGATTGGACCACCTGAACAACCCGTTCATAATTATGAAGGTGACTGGTTAGATTATTGGTTGGTTAAATTTTTTTAGGGAAGTGCTTGGTTGGATCTAGGGGTGGGACTTGGGTTGGGTCAACCAGTGGACCTGACGATCGACCTGACTAGGTCGGTGTCTGGATCAAAATTTTGAACCCGATAGATCGAGTTGCAGTCCATTTGACTTTGACCCAATCGGGGTCGGATCTGGTCTGGGTCTAGTTTAGATCTTGTCAGGTCGGATTGAGTCCAATTGGGCTCATCCCAACTTGGCTTCAAAAAAATGGATCGGTGACTAGATCGGCCATCTAGAGAACGGGTCCAGTTTGGCAGATCAATGGTTCGGAGTGAACCAACCAATAAAAAGTTTTAGAAAAAAAAATTAGAGAACAAAAAAGGCTTAAAAATTTTAAAAAATAAAAGGTGGGTCCGGTTTCTAAAGGGACCGGCTGGTTCCTAAAATTTTGGAGAATTGGGGCAACCCCTCTCGTTGCCTATCCAGATCAACCAATTCAAATCTGAATCGTCGTTTTTTAAACATTGATTACTATAAATATAATTAATAATATTAAATATACAATATAAAATTATATTCATTATATATTTTTTATTTATCGACCCATATCTTACCAAACCCAATGATACTTAAGTTCATAGTTGGTCGAAATCCAACTTATAACTAGTAGGTAGAGCATTTCTTTTAGAAAGAAAAACATGAAGCCTTCTTTTGCAAATAAGAAGAAGAAAAGAGAAAGTCATCTTCTCAAAGAGAGAAGAAATATCATTTTTTTTTTAGAGAGAGAGAAAGCGTCAATAAATGAAAAGAAACTTATGAGAGAGATGAACAGCCGAAAAAATAACCTTCAAAGATTTCTTTTAAAGAGAGAAAGAGCCTCATTAAGAAAAAAAAAGCCTAACAGAGAGAAGAACCTCGGACAATATGACTTAAAGAGAGAAAGTCTCTAGAAGAAAGTCAAGAATCCAATAAACGTTGTTTCTTAAAAGTCCATTGTAATCATTAAGTTAATAGTCGACTTGATCCCGTTCCTGGAAGACAATTGTAATTGGAGTCTATATTTTTTCGTTGACATTTTTGCTTCTATTTTAATCTTTTCACTAAAAAAAATCCCACGCCATGAACAATGATCATCAATGGAATCCTCGTTTCAGTCAAGAATAAACTTGGCCAGGTCGCCAAAAGACGCCTTAAGAGATAGGAAAGCTCTCCCTGCAACTCACCACAAAATTGAAAACCTCAGCCTTCTCCAACTGTCTCTCTCTCTCTCAACAGTTTTAGGCTTCTTTTGCTTTTTTTATACCCAAATTTCAGCGATGGGGAGAGAGACACTGTGATGAAGGGCCTGTGAAGAGAGAGAATATGATGCGGACTGCGTTGAGGTAGAGCGAGAAAGTCTGTAGAGAAAGTGTGCCCCCAAGAGAGAGGGGTATGCCTGAAGAGAGAGAGCGCGTCTTTGTCATTTTCTTTCATGGTTGAGATTTGAGTAAAAAGGTAAATACGAAAAAGAACAAAATTGAGTCTAGGGTATGATAGTAAAATTTTTTGGAGAAGATGTCTACAAAATTCATTTTTGGAGCTATCTATAATATAAATAATTTATATAAAGTTGCAACCTTAAAATATAGAATTCTAAATGCATCTCAAAAATCTATCGGAAAAAGTTATTTTAACGTTGAAAAACCCTACAATTGATCCTCTCAACATCTAGATATATGAATATGAAAGAAAAAAAGATTTTCGAGTTCCGAAAATAGTACATCTTGCAACACATTATCTAGACTGTCTACTTTCAAGATTTTCATATGTTTATAGATTTACTTGATTTTAACCACTTTTGAAGTTTAAAACTTTATAATTAGATATAAAAATAGATTTTCAAATATTTCTAATAATTTTTTACGCCAAAATTACTTGTTGTGATAAAATTTGGAGATGCACCTTAATTGGATCGTTTAAGATTACAGCCTTATAGAAACCACATCCATCATTTTTTCCTTATAAAAACACAAAAATAGTTAGGATTTGGGATATTTGAAATTCAACTTTACTATTCATTTGAACTTTTCAAGAGCTCAAATATCATAAATCTAAGCTCAAAACCCAAACTAGTTTGGGTTGGGGTTGTTCGAGGAAGATTGGAAAAGGATTTGAGTAATCAATTAGCACCAAGCATGAATGCGAGATGATCGGCCACAAAGTTTTGGGTATGCTTCAATTTTTCAATTTAAATTCATAAATTTTTTTTCTTCACTAAATCAAATATAATTGATTAAAACTCCATTTTGTATATATTTTTATCCTTTTATTATTATTTTTTTTTATATTTTTTAAAACTATAAAAAAGGGACATGTTCTATAAGACAACTGTGAGGTCAACTTTGCTTTATTGGGTGGAATGTTGAGTGGTCAAGAAACATCATATCTAGAAAGAGGATGTTGAGATGGATGAGTGGTAAAACAAAAAAAGATAGAATTCAAAATGAATATATTCGGATGAATTTAGGTGTGGCTCTAATAGGCAAAACGATGAAAAAAATAGTTTTAGGTGGGTTAGCTATGTGCTGTGCAGATACAATACAATACATGTTAGGAGGTGCAAATTAGTTCAAGTAAGAGGCTTAAAAAAGACAAGGATTAGACCCAAAAGGACATGGTTCGAAATAGTGAGAAAAGATACAGGGACGTATGGCTTCACTGATGGTATGGCCACCAAGATTTTTGTAGCCGATCCCAATTATGACCCATGATAAAACGAAATGGTGGATCAAGATTTGTGTGGCCGACTCCATGATAATTAGAGAAACACTCTTATGATGATGATGTTGATGCTGTTGTTCCCATTTCCTCGTTGATCCATCATTTGAAAAGTACGTCGTTAGAGTGTGTGCGGCCGTCCTTTGGCTCTAAGCTCCGTACCTTTGACTGCTTGTTCGCATTGGATCTCAAGTTCTCTATTGCACTCCCAGAACAAGTTTTTTTTCACCTCTCCCTCACGGTACTTGTACGCCATCGGTCATTGAGGAAGACTTAAGATTATAGGATGGTCCCCCTTTCTCACGTAAAAGCAATCAGAATTCGAACACGCCGCCGTTTTACTAGGAAGGATTGAACTATGGGAAGGAATCTACAAAGCTATCATCTTCTTTGGCCAGATCTTCCAACCTTTTCACAATTCCCAAAAGCTCTATTTTTTAGGTTTTTCATTTTTTTAAGCTAATAACAGCAATTTTATTCTTATTCGATGTATAATCTTATTTTGTTTTGTAATGTTCTGCTTTTTCGGTTTTTGTGAATTTTCAGATGTTTTACAATTTCTACTGAATTTTCTTCTTGGCCCTTTTCTTATCACTTGGGCAAGTTTGAGTCAACTCACCCGAGTAGCTCAGCTAGTTCAGTTACCAAGCATGTTGCGGGAGCCATGTTTTAGAACACTAATGGCCACCACAAAAACACTTGCGCAGGACATGATATTTTTTTTCTTTTTTCAGAAACTATTTTTATTTTGGGTAAATAAGTGGGATTTCGGCCCCTTCCCTTTCCTCATTAATAAGATAAGAAAAATGCGGTACAGTTCATGGTTATCTTAGAGTTAATAGAGATACTTGCTGCATCATATGAGAGCGAAAAGATTTGAGAGTTACTGTACTATGCACATTTCCCTTCATATTCTCAAGGGATGGTATCTCCCTAAACTCATTTCTATTACATATCCTTCTCTTGCTTCAAATTTGATCCAGCTTACCAAGACCTGTAATGGCTTCGAGAAACTCAAGGTCAGATTCCAAGGCAGTCATGTTCTTGGGAGTGAGACTCAGTGCCACATCGATGCTCCCCCCTCCTTCCCTCCCGGGGTAAACTGAATTTTGCCATCATATTTGTTCGCATTTCCGCTTCGAACGGCAAGGGGTCTCCCCCATCCGAAATTATTCTGGTACATGGGGAACCGAGGAGAGCTCCCCACCATCATGCTGAAACTGTCGAAGTTAGTGAAACGGTACAGTCGCGGCGCCTTCATCGATGCTTCCAGATGCCTGAGCACGCTTGCTTCACTATGTTCGGCAATGGCCTTGTGCAGCTGCGATGAAGCCCATGCAAGATCCCTGTTAAGTAATTCCCCCACAGGGGCCAAGCCAAAAACAGCTTGGAGGGAGTTACCAAAGTATTGGGGAGATAATGGATGGGACACCCTGTGACGATTTGAGGCAGCTAGCCGGCATCGAGTCATCAATCTGGCAGCAAGCCACGAGCCCGTGTCACGGCTCGCCACAAGTGCGCTGCAAGGGCTTGCAACGAAGAGATTTGCCATGATCTTTCCTGGTCCTGGCACTTGTTTGCCCTGAGCTTGAGCAATTCCACATCCAGAGCACTAAAATGAATGAACTTCTCAAGCAAGAGTGGCTGCGTGTATCTCTCGAGGTTGGCCTCTGAGAGGTTCAAGGCGATGGGGAGGTGGCCTGGAAACCAAGGCTCCATTACTGGTGGCTGGGAGATCTGCTTTGAGCTTCCTTCTCCCCGCATTTTCTCAGCCCACGAGTTTAAAAAGTTCGAGAAGGTTGTTCCATCGCCAGCAGTGTGGTTTAGGGAGCACCCAATGAACAAACCATCCGCAAGCTCTGTAACCTGGATATAGACACCGCATTAGAAATGTCACCTCCAGATCATAAAAGTTCCAAAAATATATGTCTATAGGCTTTGCGTGGTCTCTTCTATATATGGAAAAGTCTTAAAAAAAGCTTATAGAAAAAAAGAATAGTGTTTCGTTTAGCCACGGACTTGTTATGGCTGTGGCGGTTTATTGAATGGATACGCAATGGACGGCACAATGTCCGTGATGCTTCCGTGTGAATTTTTTACCATCACGGACCTAGCATGTCTATGACGGTACCAACACGGACATGCTAGGTCTGTTACGGTCTTTTTATCAATGCTGTCCAATTTTTTCGGATGGTGATGAACCTGTAGGTGAAATCACTGTAGCATTTCACCTATAGGCATTATGTACTCTATATATATATATATATATATATGGAAAACGCTCACGTATGTCGGTTCTCGTATACAAAAGTGGTGCGCTCAACGGCACAGATCATATCGTCTAGTTTAAACAGTTAAGACAGACTTAAAAAGTTCACATTTAAAAAACGTGATTCAGGTACCCGACACCCCTGTTTTTCTTAAAACCAACATTTTCTCTCTTGTTCTCTCTTATCTCACTCTTTCTCTCAGCTCCACCCTCTCTCTCTCTAGAGGTCCGAACCTCTCTCTCTTTCTACATGTCAGAACCTCTCTCTCTCATTCTGCGTATGTCCTTGACGTCTCAGAAAAAAAATGCCTTTAGAACTGTTAGAGAGAGAGAGAGAGAGAGAGAGATTTCACTGTATTGTGACATTGGAGAATTTCTGCAGTTCGGACAGCACTAGTGGCCCTGATTGCCTTCATGCCCACTGATCCTGATGGAGCTTTGGGTTCACTGGACTATGGAAAGGAAGAAAGACGTGCTCTTGCGATCACTATATTCATGAATTATTTGCCACTGAACATTTGGAAATTTGTCACTACCCTTGATTTCAAGTGGCCTTTGGGCGAATGGCATGATGCCCTATTTGTATGGACCTATATTTGGGGAGGTCTAGTGTTCAAGCCTTTGGACGCTGTCCCTCAAATCTAACTGAACGAATCTAATTGTTTGTCTCTGTAAATACCCATCAACAACTTATCATTCTTTGAAACACTTTACCCAACAAAATATCATAAACAGGAGAAAGCACCCCTACCACCTGAATTGTATCTCTTGTACATGCAATGTATGCTGGTGTGGCCCATTAAATCATGTGACCTTAACATGAAAAATATCCAAGCTTTCGCATTAAACTATCCTGCCATTTCATTATTCAAATAACAAATTGATCACACTATGGCAGTTCAGTTTTTGGATTTAATCACAGTTCATCATACGGCTTGCCCATGGAAACAATACATTAACAGTAGAGAGAGAAAGAGAAAAAGAGTGAGGTGGAGCTGAGAGAGAGAGTGCGATGAGGGAGAGGATGAGATGAGAGAGAACGTGAGAGGAAATGTTGGCTCCAAGAAAAACAGGGGCACCCCATTAAACGAAGCTTTTTAAAGGTGAATCCTTTGAGCCCATCCAAAAGGAAATGTTGGTTCCAAAAAAAACATGGATGTCTAAGTACCTGACACCCAATTAAATCGTGAATTTCAAATGTTAATCCTTTAAGGCCCATCCTAACGTTTAAACATACGAGATGATCTAGCGACCGTCAGGCACACCACTTTGTATACGCGGACCACAAGCGTACATGAGCATATATATA